TTATGAGCACTATATGAAACTCTTTAGCAGTATGCATCCTTTGATTCTATCCTAGGCAGGGGTCGAACTCACAATTTTCAGCTTTCACAGTGAATACATTTACCATCCAATCATTGGGTCGGAGTACAGTGGTTCACAGTCTCGTACTTCTGGGAAATAACGATATAATGTAACTATTATCCAACATCTTCATTTGGTAACCGCTTCAATTTTGACCGGTTGGCCTCACAGGCCATAGCTTAAATTGTTTTCATAAATAAATCGATTGAAGGGAATTAAACTTCATTTTGTTACCAATTTCTCTGATTAAATGGTATTTAGTCATCATTTTTTCAAACATTTCGGAAATACAGAACAGTTAAACACAATGAGACTTATGAGAAGGGGATAGTATGGTGGATAGGTTATTTATGTAGGTGAGTAGTCTGTCAGGTCCGCGGGACAAGAGGAACTAGTGGCTGAAGACTCTAAGGGATATGGCTAAGAGCCGATGTCAGTGGTGCAGATGTATACAAAGTATACCGCTTCTCACCATTTTCTCATTCTTCCTTTCTTTTGACTGAATTTTCTTATCTTCATGTTTCACCTCATTGCCTTTCTACTTGATGTACTGATATAAGTTGTGACAACTTGGACCATTACGCAGTAATGCCTGGTCCTATGTTGATATTGATTGATTGAGTAGTCTGTTAAATCGTTCGTTACTTTGTAAATGGATTCATTACTCTATTGAATACAGATTTCCACTTCTTTCTCTTTCAACATATTTAATCGATGCGGCGAATTAGAGTGATACTCTGTAAGAATGATTTGACGTTAATGGAAAACTCTAAGTGACTGTTGTATTCAGTTGATCCTAGAAGCTACAATCATCATCAACCACCCTCGATCATTTATGATACTGGTCAGTCTGAAGTTTCATCTATGAATCATAATTGTAGAAGTAAATTTTATTCCCAATAGTCAGTTTTTTGTATAGGTAAAAATCATTTTATGCGAGCATCTTCAGGAGATGAATCTGTTTGATGACACTCTTGGGTCACATTTCGAAAGGTATTTATGATTCAGAATTTTAAATTATCCCCTTAATTTATATTCTTAGTAATTTGTAACAACGTGAAAAACTACCTACGACTCTCAGGTTGCGTGGCCAGCGCGTTACCATTGAGCCACTGGGTCATAACCCAGTGGTCGATATTTCCAACTTCTGTTAGCTCATGATATAGCACAACCGCCACCCAATATCATAGTTGAATAACTGTCCTCACAACCATCAGGCTTTACCCCCATCGGTCACGACTTCTCATTGGAACTTTGGGAATACCTCTTGAAGCTAGTCACCAATGAGCACCAGTTCAACTGAATTTTTGAGGGAGTTGTGGAGATTTTGAAATATTTCAAGTTATTATTCGTCGTAGGCTGATATCAGTTGGAGGAACAAAGGAACAACTCCCTCAAAATTCAATTGGACTGGTGCTCATTGGTGACTAGCTTCAAGAGGTATTCCCAAAGTTCCAATGAGAAGTCGTGACCGATGGGGGTAAAGCCTGATGGTTGTGAGGACAGTTATTCAACTATGATATTGGGTGGCGGTTGTGCTATATCATGAGCTAACAGAAGTTGGAAATATCGACCATTGGGTTATGACCCAGTGGCTCAATGGTAACGCGCTGGCCACGCAACCTGAGGGTCGTGGGTTAGATATCTGTCGGGCGGGGTCGTGGATGCGCACTTCTGAAGGGTCCCATACTATGACGAAGCAGCTGTCCATTGCTCCCAGGTTTCCTTTGTTCCTCCAACTGATGTCAGCCTACGACGAATAATAACTTGAAATATTTCCAAATCTCCACAACTCCCTCAAAAATTTAATTGGAATATCAGTTAATATATCCTCCACAAATGAAATTGTCCTCACAACTTTAATATAACTAAATGAATCCCTAGTTATTGACTTTGTCTCCGAGTTGAAAAGGTAAATTGTGACATTTTAATTGTCTTTCAAAATAATATGATTGGTGCAAACTTTGAAAAGCAGTTAGTCTTCAAAACTTCTCCGTTAATGTTTTTGATATGAATCTAAATATCTTCAGATGTGATTGACAGCTACTTAGATATGATTATCGGAATAAGATACTAAGTCACTGTTGGAACAATGTTTTTTTTGTACCTCATTATCTTTTTTTAAGTTGCATTCATCATGAACCGACATCAGTTGGAGAAGCAATGAAAACCTGGGAACACTAGATAGCTGTTTCGTCTAAGTGTATGGGAACGCTTTAACCATTCAGCTACTCATTTGGAGTTCAATAGTTCACAGTGTCCTATTCTTTTTGTGGCTGTTGTCTAGATGAATGATGAAAGCTACCCAATCAAACCATTCAGTACATCATCCATCCTGATTTAACGTTCTATCAATCATTCCTCAGAAGTAATGATAAATTACAAAAGTTAGCTATATGTCACAGTTTGTTGAATGTTCTGATCGGCTTTACTGTTTAAGTAGAGCAGCAACTTTGAATAAAGTAAGTCAGAACTCTTTTCTATAGTAACCAAGGCTACCTCAATAAATTCATGTTCATTCGACAGAAAAAAAATGAGTGAGTGAGTGAATGAGTTGCAGAGTGAGTGAGTGAGTGAGTGGGTTGCAGAGTGAGTGAGTGGGTGAGTAGGTGAGTGGGTGAGTGAGTGAGTGAATGAGTGAGTGAGTGAATGAGTGAGTGAATGAGTGAGTGAGTGAGTGAGTGAGTGAGTGAGTGAGTGAGTGAGTGAGTGAGTGAGTGAGTGAGTGAGTGAGTGAGTGAGTGAGTGAGTGAGTGAGTGAGTGAGTGAGTGAGTGAGTGAGTGAGTGAGTGAGTGAGTGAGTGAGTGAGTGAGTGAGTGAGTGAGTGAGTGAGTGAGTGAGTGAGTGAGTGAGTGAGTGAGTGAGTGAGTGAGTGAGTGAGTGAGTGAGTGAGTGAGTGAGTGAGTGAGTGAGTGTAAATATGCGCATGTGTCGTTGATGTTGGTGTTGGGGGGGGGCCTTTATCTAGTTAATTGGAAACCCACGACCCATAGTTGTTGGTACAAGACGTGTGTACACCTTTTAGGTGATTGATGCTCTTCAGTTTGTATCATCCAATGATACCGTCAGAGTTATTACCATTGAACTGTTCAGTCGGTAACTGACTTCCTTTAAGACTTGATGGTAAATATTGATTTATCATTTGTGAGTAAGCATTTTCATACTGTTTATACCTAAGTGCTAACCGAATGTTATGCACCTGATCACTGAAGAGCATCAGTTCTCTTATGGTTGCAGAGATACCTTCTTGAAGAGTTCCAAAAAGTATAAACCACAATAATGAATCTTCTAAATTATTGTCTATCATATCGAAATTTCCCATATATTTCAAACCTTTGCAATAGGGTAGTTTTCTACATCACCAAGGTAAGCGTTATGTCTGTGAAAGATAGTATACATTCAGAATTTATATAGACTGTGGTCTATGTCTAAGAAGCAAAGCAAATTGAACATCATTGCCTCTTGTCTTTGAAGTCCTCAACAGTCTTCATCTAATAATGTTTCCCAAGACAAAGGAACTCAAAGCCTTTAAATTATCGATTGAAACCTATTCCTACTTGTAAATTGATGGATTAAAACAACCGATAACCGTCCAGTCAGTTATCATCACTGATGAATTACTAAATTTATTGATTTTAGTCTGGTAGGCGGATGGTGGGGATGTCGTGGATAGTTAACTGAAAGGTGGGCTAAACTATAAGTTGAGATGAGCTGTAAAATCACTAAGAGATAAGTAGTGTAGATTCGAACCTTGTCTATACTGAAGAGGTCACTCGTTCAAATCCTGCCACGGACAAGATTTCACTTTCACCATCAGTCTTCACCCAGTATCAATACAAGTTTACCAAATGACGGGTAAATAGTAAGAATGATAACTAGTATGATGTCCCCTCTCTCGAATCTAAGTAGATTGGGATGATAAGTCCTGACTAGGCAGTCAGTGTGAATACGATCAAACAGCAGTTACGCTTCACGAATTCACATAGTAGTCGGACAAAACCCATCTTGTTGATTGAAGTGAAATAAGAATCTGGTTAGCAGTCGGACTTGGTAGCTGAGTTGGTAAAGCATCGGGCCGGAAACCCATTGGTCGCTGGTTTGAGTCCCGCCGCGGTCTACATTTCCATTTCACCTTCAGTCAACATCCCTTTAGGGTCACTCTTGAGAAAGACATCCACCCATCCTCTTACACAACAAATACTCGTAGCCATGAACGAAAAAGAAATTTAAAGTGAGGATTAAAAATATACCCCCCCCCACACACACACATACTCTTTAGCATAGACGGAGGAGATCGGCAGGAAGCCATACGTGAATCAGGTTTCGTCCTTGCTGGGATTCATCAGGAAGGGCATCTCCAACCTCCATAGAATGAATATCCCATCTGAAATTCAAACCCACATCACCTAGTGCTACAATCAGGTGTTACCACTGAGCTGTCCGGACAACGACTGAAATAGGTACATTGATAGGTCATTGAAAGATAACCAACTTCATATAGTCCAGTCCCATGTACTGATCGGTTTCTAGCGATCATTTTGCAATACAGAAAATTCAACATCGCAACGCACTTTGACAGATGTCAGCTGGATGATAGCATTCAACAAGAAACCATAGATCTAGGTTTCATGCTTGTTGGCACTCGTCAGCAAGGTGTCTCTGCAGCCTCTACAGAACTAATGTCTCTCCTGAAATTCGAACCTGCATCATTGATGACGTCTTTGACTGACGTAGATTCCAGTCTCCGTAGGAACACCACTTCACTTGAAGTTATACACACACTCATCCACACCTTGTCAACATGGGTTACACATGGCTATGAATTCAAGTTTATCTAACAGAGATTCCCCCCTCGCAGCAACAAGAAATAGAAAATTCCACATTCAAGGTCACATAGAAACAAATATACACACACATGAAAGGGCAGACAATAGCTCACCTGTGTTTCAGACAACCTTAATGATTTAGCTAATTCAGCTCTTTCTGCTGCTGATAAATAACGTTGATAATTGAAGCGTCTTTCAAGTTCATAAACTTGTGCATGTGAAAATGCAGCTCGTGTACGTTTACGTCGACCAACTGTTAAACTATCCACCGTTGATAGTTTAGATTGACCTGAATATATTCCAGATGTTAATTCATTCATTCCTCCTGATGATAATGATGTTGTGGTTGTGGTTGCCAGAAAAGGATTTGTATTAAAATAACATGAATTATTTAATTGACTCATGATACTACTATTAAGATTGATAGTAGTATTCATAACTGTAGAATGAGTAGTATTCTTATCATTATCAACAAGTGGTATCACTCTTGGGGTGGGTGTAGAAGATGGACACTTTGAAAACAATGATATTTGTTTATTTTTACATAATGAAGAATATAAACCATATTCTTTTAATTTATTAATTAATCGAACTGAATAATTTTCATTCATAAAATCTTTTTTAAATTGTAATTCATTTTTATCATCTTCATCATCAATTTCTTTATCATTATCCTTTAAATGTGCATTATCAATATTCAAGGGTCTAATAGAATTGTTCAGTGTACAATTGTTGTTATTTTGTGCTGATTTAGTTTTTTGTTCAAATAAATAATCATGCCTAAGATAAGGAAATACATTTGAATGTGTCCATAAAATATTGGGAAATGATTTTGTGATTAAATAGGGTAGTATAGATTCCAGTGTGAACTCCTTTTTCGCATTATTATTATTATTATTTTGCAAAAGAACTAAAACAGAAAAAAAAAGAAATTGGTTAGATTTAATGAATAAAAAAAGACTGTAGACTTTATCAATATCAGAAAGCTGTGGTTTGGTATGCTTGTATTGATGTCCAAAGGTGGATGGTTCGAATCCTACCATGACTTTCGCTCACCATCGAGTATTAATCAATAGCTTGTTTGTTTAATGGTGGTTTAGTATACTCTAAGCTTTGTTAGCTTTTCGTGGATGTTTCTAAGAGGGAACTTACTGAAGGTTCCAGATACTCTTTGTTGAGTTGTCAAATTGTATTAAACTCAAATTGCCTAGAAATCCCTCTTGACTACTTACAACCTTACATGTCATATTATTGATATTGGGTAATAATTGAAGGTGAAATGAAAATCTGGGCTGTGGTAGGACTCGAACCAGTGACCAGCAAGCTGCTGCCTATGTGCTCTGTTCGCCTCCTGATCAGGATTTAATATCATTTCAATCACTAAGGATTTTATCCGACTGCCATATGATATACTGATGTGTCCAACGTGTTCAAACTAGTTGTTCAACCAAGGTTTTGATTCCAATCCAAATCAAGCAGAACTAAATAGGCACGGGGGGACATCATATTGATGATCAGTTTGATTATCTGTAATAACCGTGGTTTGTCAGACCCTTAATCGTCACCTAGTAGGGAAAGTCTAAATTAGTCTACACCTGTTGCTTCATTGCTCCAGCCACTCTCAAGTGATGGACTCCGTGCTCGAACCCAGATCCATATATCGACAACTAGGCAATCAAATGATATCATTACCTGACACAAAGTAAGTATAACTCATTGTCTACTACACGATCATGAGTAAGGTTGTTAAGTGGATTTCAATTTGATTTTCTGATGGTATGTCATTTCTTTATGTATACACCTTGATGTAACTCGTTGGGTAAATTCGGACGGTACTAAGTCACAGCCGGTAATTTCACCTTGAACTCAATCGATAAAAGTGTATTCATGTTGGATTATCCACTGAAACTCAATCCCACCAGCCCTAGTTACAAATCAATCAACCAGTTAAAATAACCGTGTGTCTTGCTTCATAAACATTAAATTAAGTGCCAGCTGTGTAGCTCACCAGAAACAGTAACTATCAGTGGACTACGGAAGTATTCAGTTGAGCGATGAGTTACTGGTTTTGATGAAACCTCATCCACCCACCCTACTTGGATTTCATTGACAAAAACAATAAAATCCAGCATTTTTATCATCCGGTAGCTTAGAGAATCTTAACACAATCGCAAACAGGTTGTAGGCAGCTACTGACTAACTCAACAACAACATTCGTGGTAGTGGAGTGTCCAGCGATCTTGTTTGGTTACTTAGATTTTAGTAACTAGGCTACAATGTGAACCGATAACTAAACGATTAGAAATCGAATCCCTAACTCGATAAGTTACAGTTCTAGTGATCATACAGACCAGTTATCGTTTTAGTGTTCCAGTAGCTGATGAGTCCCGAATAGGACGAAATGCGCATCCAGGATTCCACTACTAGCCACAACCAAGTAAATTGTTCGGATATTTAATCTAAGATTTCATGCTAACATTCGACAGTTCCAGCGTTATTAGAGTTCATTCTTGGCTTATTTGGTAGCAGTGATCCACTTCCTGGAATATTGAAGTGTTAATAACTAATGATACCATATGAAATCGATCCTATCAATGAACGAATAACGATTTGTCAGGTATATGACTTAGAGTTTTCAGACTTAATCTCACAAGCAGTCATTGATGAGTACCACTAAGAAACGCCATTCCAGGATGACTTGACTGACTGATTACAAAATCTACAGGTCACCGGTTGACAGTCTTAGAATTAACAAAAAGTTTATTGATTTCCAGTTGTTTCCTAGGTTGTCTTTCCTCCCCAATATTAGTCGATTGGAAGAAGGTACACCCTAATGATGAGTACCAAGAAGGATGAAATCCAAATGAAGGAGGGCTTCCTGCCAATCAGTACCCACCCCACCATCAACCAGTTAACATTAGCCAAAGTGAATCGTGGTGGAGAGTTTCCTAGACTTATAAGTACATTTAGAAATGTTCGACGAAATTCCTTTAGGACTTGATGATGGATGCTGGCTAGCGGTAGAACCTAGGATGTGAGTTTCGTCCTACTTAAGACTCATCAGTTGGATGTGAGTGATGTTATTCCTAGAAAGACTTAAACACAGGGCCAGTAGCTTTAAATACCAGAGGGTTATCCTATCCAAAGAGACAGTTGATCAATCCTAATAAAAGTTGCCCAAAAGCCTAAGGAAGATGTAAGATAAATCGATCATCAATGCCGGGTTGTATGAATAGTTCACATCACTTCTCAGCTATATGATCTCCTTAAAGTGTACAAGAAAGATGAGATACTCATTATATGATGCGATTGACATCAGTACATCACATTTAATCGGTGTGAAAGTTTCTGTTGCCTTCAATCTTTTAAAGACAGCACACGTATGGGACTTCTACCGATTCTTTATGGAGTGGTGTGGTAGTTTTCTGGAGGGTATGCTGCCAGTTTTTAACTCCTTAGGGAGATAAACGGCACAATTAAATCGCAAACAACTGAGCAATAACAGGTCTGTGATGCCCTTAAATGGTACCAGTGAGTCTAAAAACTTGGCCTGAAAGGGTTTGTAAAACTCCTTCGTCATTGTCGCAACTTGGATTAGGGCTTACAATTATTCCTGGTTGAACGAAAAATTTCTGGTAAGTACAAACCATAAGCTTGCCTTGATTACTTCTCTGCCCTTTGTACACACCACCCGTCGTTACTACCGATTGAATGGTTTAGTGAAGTCATTGGATTGGTGTCTTTGAAATGGCTTATTTGACGATTACCAGATAACGCTATAAATCTAGAAGAACCAAGCTGAGATGGCTGGCGGTTGTAGGCCCATTCTCATGCCAATGATATATAAATATGGTGTACTGAAACATGCCGGTAAAATCCTTATATCAATCGCCTATTGGATGAAATCAGGAGAGTGCTCAACACATGCAATGCCATTAGAGTGTTCTACAGAACATTAAACATATTACTGAACACTTTAGTCCATTTGAAGGACGAGATCACTTTGCTTTTATGTTGCGATTCAACATACATAAGATTAAGCTACAGTAAAATCAAAATTAGGAACAATATGCACCGAGTAGTTCCCCACTCCATCCTACCAGTAATCCGACAGAGGTGAAAAACTTGAGAATTGCTTCAGTTATACGCTATACTTTAATGTCACAAGGTCGATTTTGACCATATCCAAAGTTATACTCGATGACAAGTGGAGGTGAAATGAAAACTTGGACGGAGGCCAGATTCGAACTAGCGACCACCGGGTCTCCGATCCGATACGCTACCAACTAAGCTACGAGGAAGTAACGTATCACGACTTCATAATGGTAGTCGGGCAAAATCCCTGGTGATTGAAGCCAAATAAAAATCTGATCAGCAGTCAGGCTTCATAGCTCAGTTGATAGAGCATTTGGCCTGAAACTCGATGGTCACTGGTTCGAATCCCACCGCGGGCCTAATTAATACAAGTCTGCCAAACCACGGCTGTCTCAGATAGTTAAATTAATCAATGTCCAAATTATAAATTACTTTAAAGGATGACTCTTGAGGAGCTGAATGAAGTAACTCCATAAAGCGTCCATATATGAATGAAGTTGTTTTTCTTCGCTCGCTTTTGGTTAACCACACCAGGTAATGTTCAGCAACGTGTTTTTGGGTCTCCCTCTTATAACATCCACATAGATGTGGATATAAGTGGTAGCCTATCCTTCATGCATTTTCAAACCAGACGATGACTACCACGACTCCAGAATATCAATATGAGTCTAGCAGCATCAAAGAAACTATTGATACATCTGTATGTCTTCAAATTCACTTACTCCTGTGGAACTGAGTACATAGGATGTTGTAAGCGGGCCCCTCTTTGCTGAACTTTAATCGGTTTAGCTTATCAAATACTCCGAAAAGCTTTAGAGATAATAATAAACGATGTCCGCAGGAAATTACAAAGTAACAATTGATACTTGTTGCACAACAAGTGGTTCTCATATCCCTAGTGGCTTAGTGGATAACGCTTTGGCGTCTCAAGTGATGGGTACTGGGTTCGAACCCCAGTGGGAACAGTATCCTGCTGAAGATTCCCAAAATGGGACAAAACTCACGTCCTAGGTCCCACTGCCAGTCACCAGGATCAACACAACATCATAAAGCCATTCAGGTCTATACATTAACAGGAAATACAAAACAATAGAATAAAGTATTTCAAACAGATCCCAAGCTTTAGCACTTGATCAGTTCAGGCCTGATCTCTGTGTGTATGTATCACAACCCCCCCCCCTTCTATATGATGACGATCACTTTCATCCTTATTCAATAATATTACTATTTTCATCCTCTTTCCCTTACTCTGCAATGATTTCTTCCTAGTTTCGTATTACTGATATGGAGTGATGAATAATCATCGATGGAAAGAAAACTTGAACCATAGTGAAATACCAACCAGCTGTCATACAGCTCTTGATGTCATTCACCATATTCTTCAAACCTTAACTAGATACAATTTGTCAACACCCTGTCCAGATAGCAGAAACTGTGGGCATAAAAAGTGATGAAACCTGAACTCTATATTCAGAAGGAACCTGTTCAAGTATTACTCCTCTGTGGACCTTCAGTAAAATGAAGGCTATTCTCGTCATTCTTGTTAGCTGTCTTTTTTCTCATCACATTCTTCATACAAATTTAAAAGGATCTGCTTGTTATTCCCGATTCACACTTCATTTTAAAAATGCATTTTTCGATGTGTTTTTGTAATATTGAACAATTTCATTTTACAAATCTAGAATCTAATGAGAATTTTTAAGGTTGTACTGATTTCTAACTGACATTAGTTGAAGAACTATTGAGAATCTGGGAACACTGGACGCTTGTTTCATCCTATTGTGTAGGACTCCCCAACCACCCTGTCAGGGCTCGAACCCAAGACCTTCAGGTTTCACAGTGAACGTGTTAGCCATTCAGCCACTGGTTTAGAAGGTGAGTACTACTGAGGAGTCGCATATAAGGATGATACAGTTGTCCGGTACCTTCAGATACTCAGTGATTCCTTTTATTGTTATGGGTATAAATTTCTAACTTACCTTCATGATTTGCTTCTAATATATTCCAAATTAACGCGTTTTCATCATCCATTGATTGGTTATCAAATGATATCGAACTGGATAATTTGCATTCTGAATATGGTGCCTCACTAGCATCAGTATGCTCCTCGTTGTTGTTAACATTGTCATTATTGATCCCAAATGGACTGTTCAATCGTACCTGTTCATAATGTTTACTTCTTGGCGATGGTGGAGGTGTCTGACTAGAGAATGTGTCTACTACTGAAGAATTCACTATCTCCAGCTCCGATTCTTCGGGATCATCTTTTCGAATATGTTCTTCTGAACGCTTGTCATCAATTAAATTGGCTATTGAAAATGCTTCCATTTTGTGCCCGTTCCAGTAAAATATTACTTAGTAATGTCAATGGTTCTGCTATTTAAACTCTTTAAGAAGTTTATTTTTTTATGTCACACCTTTCCATCACCTAATAAAAACCTATTCATCTTTATTACGCTGTCCACTACAATCAATTACTACTATTAGCAGTACTATCACCACCCTGCCTTGTACACTACCCTTTCGCTCTTAACCGCATTATTTTCTCTCTTAAAATATTATAATAAAACTGACCAATAAAAATGCTAGATTATTGATGGTATGAATAAGTGGATGAATGATTGAGTGGGCGGCTATCCTGAAAGTCAACTTTTCACTGCCTACCCTTTACAGATGTATCGATCCCATTGGCATAAAGATCACTTGAAAATTATATACACGTTGAATAACTACCAGGTTTTTGTGTAGTTAAAAGGAAGGGCGTCTGGTCAGTTAAAAACCAACAAAACCATGAAATTTAAGTGAAGTGAAATTGATAATTAGTGTTTATGATTGGTTAATTACATTGGAAAAATTCTTTCCTTCGCCTAAGTATCTTAAATCTAGGCAGACAGACATACCTACGCATACACACACCAACATCAAAATGCCTTCACTCTGCGATTGGATAAATGAGTGGTAGAGAAAGAAAATTTCATCTTTTACTTCCAGAGTATTTCTTACTTTAGATAAGGGGAGTGATATACAATTATTACTGGTAGCATATAAAATCCACCCTGAAATACAAATCCAGATCATTTTGAATCGATTGTGGCTTGGACTTAATGTCATTATAAAATTTAAATTAATTTCTAGCTGCTAACTGAATTTTACTTTACGATGAATAACAACTTGAAATAATTCCAAATCTCCACAACTCCCTCAAAATTTAATTGAACTGGTGCTCATTGGTGACTAGCTTCGAGAAGTATTCCCGAAGTTCCAATGAGAAGTCATGACCGGTGGAGTCAAAGCCTGATGGCCATGAGGACAGATACTCAACGATGACATTGGGTGGCGGTTGTGCTATATCATGAGCTAACAGAAGTTGGAAATATGGAGCATTGGGTTCTGACCCAGTGGCTCAGTGGCAACGCGCTGGCCACGGAACCTGAAGGTCGCGGGTTCGATCCCTGCTGGTGAGGTCGTGGGTGCGCACTGCTGAGGAGTCCCATACTATGACGAAACAGCTGTCCAGTGCTCCCAGGTTTCCTTTGTCCCTCCAACAGATGTCAGTCTACGATGAATAACAACTTGAAATAATTCCAAATCTCCACAACTCCCTCAAAATTTAATAATAATAATAATAGTAATAATAACGGTAATAATAATGCATAGTATTTATCGCTGAATATACAGGCACACACCATTTTTATGGGTATGAACAAGTGACATTATTCACTTACTAGAAGACATAAAGAGTGCTTGCTAATAAAATGTAGCATCGTAGCAGAGTAAGTATGCACAAACTGACAAGATGAACAAGTGAAAGTATTGTCTTTAAGTATTGTTTGGAGAAAAATAAAGCTTGAAACCAACACTTCCATTCGTGTTAACGCTTGCTCTGAAGCTTGAAGCGATCATTCTCGAGTTCGAATCCGGTGGGAATAACTTCACTCAGTCGAAGGCAGGTACATTCAGCTGACGAGTCCCAGATATGACGAAATGAGCATCCTGGATTCCACTGCTAGCCACTATCCATCACTGATACTTCCACTGTTACACCTTATACATTTTGATGAAGGATGATGAAAAGTTAACGAATGAATTTGTAAACGTTATTGATTCTAGAACTGCGGATTTCATGTATTCTCGCTCCAGTTCACAACAAAGATTCACAGTCTTACTGAGTATTACGACTGCTAGCCAAATATCTGAACTCTAGTATCAGATGTACGAGGTTTGTTCCAGTGCATCAGGTGGACGTCCAGAACCCTTTGTGCCCCATTTTCGCTAGTCGTGGTAACCTTGTGCTCAGTAAGGATATCTGGTTTTCATAATTATGAAGTTTTAGGCTGAAGAAAACTATTTGTTTCCACTAGTGGTGGATACTGGCTAGCAGTAGAATCGCTGCCCTGGGGGGGGGAATCCATCACGTGGTGGTGAAGTTTGCACCGCTGAAGAGTCCGGAATGGGACGAAACACTTATTCAGTGCTCCCAGGTTGTGAATAGTAATTTAATTGATATGAGTCAGTGATGAGAACCAAAGGTATCTGATAGTAAAGAAAACTTGAGCATAGGTAAAACTGTTCAACCTACTGAGGAATTTCAGCTTATTATTCATCCCGGAATGACACCGGATTGGAGAACCCTTGAAAAAGCCTGAGAGCACTGGAGAGCTGCCTCGTTGTGGTATTCTGACACAATGAGTGAATGGCAGCGTGCTGATCACGGAACCATAAGGTCACGTGTTCTGTCATAGAGGTTTCATGGCTACGCACTGCTGAAGAGTCCCATGAGGAGGTTTCCAAAGGTTCTACAGTCCGATGTTATTGAGGGATGAATAGCAACAAGGGATGTCGTTCAATCTAAGATTAACAGATATTTTTTAGACTCAAGCTTTGGAACTTGGTGAGTAAAGTTACATTGCTAACCGTCCGGTAACGATTTTGTGTACACTCTTCATTCTTACAAGAGGACGCGAGTGAAATGGTTAACTTTGTTATAAACTCTTCCTTTTTTGGCATTAAGCGTTGCCAGTATCATCTTCAGAAGGAGCATTAATCCCTTCAAGACTACTGATATACCCTATTGATGAGTGCCAACAAGAAAGAGACTTAGGGATCGAACTAGGCTTTTTAGCAATTCGAATCCTAACACTTACTCATCATCAAGCTTGGGAGCACTGGACAGATGTTACAACCTACAATGTGAAACTCTCCAGTAGTATGCACCCACAATCTTGCCCCACCAGAGTTCGGACTCACGACCTTCAGGTTTCACTGGGAACTCGTTAACCATCTAAATACTGGGTTGGATGGAGTTCAATGGTTAACTATTTACCGAGGTCTTCACGTTTTATCCACTACCTTACCTCTTCATTCAAATTTCCTTAATATCGATGTCTTTCTGTGCACATTAAGATTATAATTATGGTGAATCAATTATTTCAATGTTACATAATAAAAAGTCATTTTCTAGTCACCATATAGAATAATAATCCAGGTCATAGTAACCGAATAACTATAATCTGTGGAAATAATTCAATAATTAATGAATAATTAGTCAAATAGCAGTGATTATAACTGTTAAGGTGAAGAGAGTTACCTTTTTCATCACTAGGGCCTGACAAAAAGGTGTGAAAGTGTGTTGACACAGATATATTATGCGTAGATGTTGGAGTGATTACTTGTGTTACCATGGTCTAATGCTACTTGTAACCAGTACACAGTAGTAATTACAATTAAATCACATGTTCACACATTTAAACTAGAATTTCAGATAACACTTGAAATTATTCTCTTTGTACCATATCAACACAGTGTGGTAACAGTTATACGTGTGAATTGTATGAGAAGCCTAGTCAACTGGTGTTAAATATAATGAGACAAGTAAGTTAATAATATCGTCTATCAATAATTCAATGATCTAACAGTTTCTAAAGTTAGTATTCATCATAGACTGACACCAGGTGAAAAACCTGGGAGCACTGGACATCTGTTTCGTCCTAGTGTAGGACTCCTCAGCAGTGCGCACCCACGATCCCGCCAGGGGTCAAACCTGCAATCTTCAGGTTCCATGGCCAGCACGTTACCATTGAGCTAGGCACTCACTGTCGCGCAATAGGTATGGTTCATCGTCTACTAGTGGGTTTTGTTCGTTCTTTTCACACCTGATTTGAAGTGTATTGGGTCCCAAATTTATGAGATACAACACTTTTTCCAACTGAGAAAATAATCAGTTATTGGGTGATCGTGGGGAGGGAGAGGGGGAGGGTGACTAAAAAGAACCTATGCTTCATATAACTTTCACACTACCTTATCATCAAGGTTTTTTTGAGGTTGAGGGAAATGACTCTGTCTTTGAGATTCGAGTTCTCATGGCCAAGTACCTATGACTGTCAGAGATATGCGCGGTATACCAATGAATTATTAAATTCTTTGAGCGAAATAACTTGAAACATACAACAAATCCCTGCTGATGTTTCATGTTCAAAGACAGTGGAAGTGATTTCCTGGATAGACATCTTGCGCCAGCTGACGTTTGTAACACAATGAATATTTGTAAATCCAATGTATGAAGCATTGAAACCCACGGGTACTCACTTACCGAGACTAAATGGGCTCCGTAAGTTAGGAAGGCAGTCAACTCTTTATCTCAACTTCATTAACTTCGAAAAGGCCTTTCATTAAGGCGTCGATCGACAAGTAATTTGACAGCTGCTGCTTCAACACTACGATTTCCCTGACACAAACCTTCATCAACCTCATTCAACAGCAGCTACATGCTATATGACAATGCTACATGCCAGGTGATTCACAATGGAAAGCTCAGTGATGCGTTTGAAGCGAAGTGAAGACAGGGGGAGGAGTAAGACAAGGTTGCCGCCTACTATCACCGATGGTGTTCCTGATTGTGGTCGACTCGATTGGAGTGGACTGGAATGGATCATTCAAGGAACTGTGAGGAGCTGTGGGCATACGCTGGGTGGACCGATGACAGACTCTAGAAGATTTGTATTTCGCCCATGATGATTTAGGTCTAGTGTCTTATGTCGCACAAACTTGAAGATCTACAGGCGAAAACCAACAAGTTGACAGGAGAGGTGAGGCATTGAAGATGGGACTTCAAGTGAACGTTGAGAAGACACAGGTGATGAAGGTACCCAGTGTGGAGATCTTCTGCACCCAGCATAAAGCGTCAACAACATCAGGATTTTCAATACCACCGTCATGTCAGTGCTTCTGTATGATGGTCCAGAAACTTGGCGCGTTACATTTCCAACAAACTACAGACATTCGTCAACAACTGCCTACCCTGGCTCGTTACTGGAGCTCAGATGGCGAGA